AGTTCATTCTTCTAAGCTTACATGGTCTTAGATTCTTCAAATACTCCCCATACTTAGAAACAAGTTTTAGAATAGGTGAGTTTATATATATATGTGTATTTACATATATATATATATTTAATTTAAATTACTCTCCTATTTTATTATTGTTTTTTTAATGCCTACAGCACCAGGTATTTCTAGGTGATCTCCCATTCAAGAACTAACCAGGCCCATCCCTGCTTAGCTTCCAAGATCAGACAGGATTGGGAGTGTTCAGGGTGCCATGGCTGTAGATAAGTTTATATTGAAATTAACTGCTAAAGAAAATGAAAATAAATTTATCTTCTACTATCATTAGTAGAAACTATCGAAATTAACTACATACACAGCCCAAAACTTACAAAGACATAAGGACTGGGTCAATCTTTTTTCTCTAAAAAAGTACTTGCGTGGGTAATGTAAATGCAAACAGAAGGTTACCTAGAAACAATTATGAGCATATAACCTAAAAAAAAATTTGTCACTGGCTAATATCCAATTCAATGACATGGAGTCTGTAAATACTCAAAATTAAGGGTAATTCAAAAGCAACAGTAACAAACCAATTTGTCAAAGCAGTCAGATAATCTAAGATAAAAATATTTTGGATTTCTCTGGAAGGCCTATATTCCAAAGCAACATTTTTCCCTAGGTTATGGAAAAATCTTTAAAGAGATGATCATCAATGAAGACATGCAGATAAAAAATACATCTGCTTGTAATTTAAAACTAGTGAAAATGAACGTTTGCTTTATTCACCAAAAATTTACAACTGATTCATCTTCCATTTTTGTCAAATGAAAAAGCAACAATAAGGAGGAAAACAAGAGTAAGTATAACAATGTAAAGTTATATAAGTAATCACTTAAACAGTCACATGTAACATCCACGGACTGGCTTATATTATAAGAAAGAGTATCTGTGTGTTTGTTTCATTCATTCAACAAGTATTTTACTGAGCACCCATAGTGTGCCAAGAACTGTGCTCAGCACCCATAAAATTCTTTACAAGTACAGAACACAGCCCCTGCTCTCTAAGAGCTTACAACCTATTATTTGTTGGGAAGACAAAGCAAATAAACCATAAGCAAAACAAGTCAATAACTAAGTGCCAAAATGAGTGAAACGGTAAAGAGTTATAGGCAGATTACATAGAATTTTATTTTAATAATTTGAAGGGGAGATATATGCTGGGCAAAGTTCTTGCTGAGGATCTCCTAGAGAAGGGAGGACTTGAAATGGTAGAACTGAGGTTAAGTTCATGGAGGTGGGGGCAGAAGGGTAAGAACAACAACATGAGCTCGGTCATAAACTAATACAATCACTCGAAATACCATGTAAAGACCAGCCTGGGTTCAAATTAAGAGAATATGAAGACATGCAGCTCAGAACTGTGCTTTGAATTATATTATCCATCAAAGTTAAGCTATAGAATTTGAATATTATGCCATAAGCACAGAAAAACATTGAAGTTCTTGGGCAAGATGACATGCTGAAATCTAAGAGACTTTTTGTGGGGCAAACTTGAAGTAAGAAAACCAACTCAAAAGTTAAGAGATCCAAGGCATGGGATGTAATGACTTGGGCT